GGTAGTATTCCTACCCAGTCTTTTTCTTCATGGCACATTATTGCTGCTTTAAGTGATCTATGCCATCTTTCTATCATTCCATTTGATGCAGGGTGATACGCTGTTGTTCTAATTCTTTTCGCTCCGACTAATTTGGTTAACGCTTCAAATAGTTGACTTTCAAATTGTGTTCCTTGATCAGTTGTAATTGTAATAGAAGAACCAAATCTTGAAATCCACTGCGAATAGAATGTTGTTGCCACTGTATCTGCTGAGGTATCCGGCATTGGAATTGCTTCTGGCCAACGAGTAAACCTATCGATCATAGTTAGGCAGTATCTCATATTTTTAATCGTTGGTAATGGACCTATTATATCTATGTGTACATGTTCGAAACGTCCTTGTGGTACTTCTATTTTCGAAGGTACCTGTTTGTTATGACGGCTTATTTTGCACTTTTGGCATGCTAARCATGTACTTGACCATTCTGCAATATCTTTGTTCATCTTTGGCSACATGAAGCTTTTTCCTATAAGRTGTTTTGTTACTCTGCCGCTGGGATGTGACAAATTGTGTACGTTCTTAAAAATYTGCCTCYGTAAAGAGACTGGAACGTATGGTCTTATGCTTTTTCCTACTATGTCGCCATATATGTATGTAAGATTTATTTAAATTTAAAACATAAGTATTTATTATAATAGAACAAATGTTTAATATAATAATAAGGAGATAGAAAAGATAAGAAAAGTAAGTAAGTTACAATAGTTAGAAATCTTAAGTACACTCGTATTACACTCTTTCACTCACAAATAGTCGCACCGAATCAAGAAGGCGAAGACCGCATTCTTCGCCGCGCTTATATACACATTCACCCCACCAATGGTCCCAATCACTTCCGTCAATCATTCTCGAAATCTCCAGACTATTCCCGACCGATTAAACAAAAGACCTTTTCCTGATTTCCGGTTCGGGAATACTCGAGAGACTTCGGGGTGCACGCCCGCTTTTCTTTCTTACTGGACACACTCATATTCATACTGCTGCATGCACTCACACTTATACCCATATCGCTGCGCGCACTCACACTCATGTCCATATCGCTGCGCGCACTCACACTTATACCGATATCGCTGCATACTCTTACACATCTTTCACATTCATCAATTGTTTTCACGCACACCATACACTCGCACTCTTCGTCTTTCTCTCATCGAGAAAAATCGATTCTCTCATCTCGAAGAAGTCCAAGATTTAAGTTTAAAAGTTTTTTTCCGAATGTCTCTATTTCTGCACCATTTGCCGCATATAACTTACACGTATTGTCTTTGGTTTCATTTAACGAAGTACGTGGAATCACTGAGACGTCTGCACCAGTGTCTATTAGAAAACATGCTCCTGTTTTCCTATCATTTACCATGAGGCGCAGGTTTCTCGTCGCGTCGTAAACCGCCTCTATTTGAGACGCTTGCACTAGTTTTCCGAAGGCTTTCTTTTATCCGGGCCTGTCCACTTGCACGGGGATCTGCACTTCCACGATCGTTCCGCGAATTTCCAGTGGTAATAACATAGGCCGTCATCGTTTCGGTGAGTGCTTGACGATCGGCTTCGACTTCGGTATCTTCCGCGGAAACTTCGGTACTTTCTTCTGCCGCGCATCAGTTTTTTTATCTCCTCTGTTAGTTGCGCGATTTCCCGCCTGAATTCTGCTACCTCGCGATTGGTTGTTGCTTGAGCGGCATTTCCTACTGGCGCTACTTCCGAAATGGCGGCCGTTTCCGGCAGACGCTCTCTCTCGAGGATCTTGTCACCCATTTCCGCTAACTTTGCGGGTGACATATTTTCGTCTGCAATGGCCAGGATCCCTTG